TCATGCAGGACAAAAGCTTCAGCAGGACTACTTTATGAAGTTCTCTACTTAGTTCCTACACAGCTTCCTACCCTACTTGTGTAGAGGGCCCGGGGGTCGTATATTTTCAACTACCCTAAACTTTACAACCAGACCCCAAACCCTAGCCCATACACCGTACACCCTAACTCCTGACCCGTAACTCCTAGGTTCTACCCCGCAGGTCCACGTGCCCGATTATCAACTTTCCCCAAACCTATATGACAAGTCCTCTTAAACAGATTCCAAATAGGACCCTTGGTGCTAAACTTCCAGATCCCCGTGTCTCACCTGACAAGATACGTAGATGGAGATATCCCACTTAAGTCCCCTAATCCCCCAGAAGGTAGGGATAACCCACCAGGATAAGTTTCTTCTTTAGCTCTTTTGTTGTTCCTAAACTTTACCTAAACCCCAAACCTGAACCCTGAAGATTAAAACCTTACTCTAGGGATCCGAGTATACAAATAATACCTACATGGGGCCCTAAACTCAAAATGAATACCTAAACCCCAAAAGTAGGAAAAACAATTGCCCAAAACACCAAAATATAGCCCAAAAGGCCATTATTCTACATACTGTTGGGTTCACGTATTACCTACGTTGGGCCATTTGGATCCATAGGGTAAACCCTGAACTCCAATTCCCCGGCAAACCCTGTTCAGGGGTTTAGGGTTTAGAGTTTAGGATTGGAGGGTCAGGGAGACTTAGTAAGTAGGTTAACAATCCCTGTAGCCCATAGAGTAACCCTAGTTATCCTAGTTATCAACCTACTTTCAAAGTCCCCATGACCCTAAACCCTAAACCCTAACCTACTTACTAAGACATCCTAAACCCGCAAGCAGCTCTACCCAGCGTCTCACTTCGATCTTGTTTGTCTGCCGGGAACCGGAGCTCCTGCAGCCAGCTAGGCTCACGTAAGCCACATGACCAAACCTGGGATTTCCAGTGTAGGGTTTAGGCTAGGGTTCAGGGTTGAGGGTTGACTGTTTAGGCTACCTTTGAAGACGTGATATAACTTGTATTAGGATTATTTGTCGGAGTTATATAACGGTTGTATAAGGACTATGAAGGGGTTTGGGGTGCAGGCTCCCCATGTTCCATAACCTCTTTACTTGACATCACGCAAGTCTGCGTGTGTTTTCTATGTAAACCGCTGCTTAAGGTGGGTTCGGGCGAGATAATGAAATTTGGTCCGTTTAAAAATTTATGTACGTAGGGATGTGAAAGATAGGATATACAGGGGTCAGGTAACCCTAAGGGTCCAAGTACCTAATAACCAGATACTTACCCAAAACCTGTA